AAAAAAAAACAATGTATAAATGCATAAAAAATAAATAATAGATTGGTAATTATTTTATACTTCATAAATCCATGGAGGGAGAGCAGCAACGAGTGTTTCCAAGCACCATAGTCTGTTTTCATTTAATTTTTTAAAGTAATTATTGGGGAGAAAATGGTACAATTAATTAGTGCGTCAAAGCACTTGTTCCCATGTTGAGATATTGGCTTAGCGTGTATGTACATTAGCAATCTAATTGAGTAGATATTATGAGCTGTAATCTTTGTCTTTAAAGCATGGCAGGATGCATATTGCATACAGAACATCCTATTTCTAAATTAGTTAGCAAACATCAATTAAAACACGGACAATAGTTTCCAGTCATGAGATTATGTCAGTTCTGTTGATTGATTGGAGCCAAGAGGGCCCCATTGTTTTGCTCCAAGCACATAACTGAGTTTTCATTGTAAAGCTTATTAACAAAAGGCTTTTTATGTGCATGTTTGTTTAGGACTTCCAAGATGGACAAGCAGAGCAGAAGCCACTGTTTGAGAAGATCAGTTGCAGTATTTCACACAAGTGTTTCTGTTTATGGAATTGTTTTTTGTGCAGGAATGCTAAGTGTTGTTTATCATTTTAAAGCTTGGATTAATCAGAAATAGAGATGAGAATGGTCAGGTGCTTTCAGAATATTTCTGTATGTTTTTACACCACGTAATTTGCTATGTGGCGTGTTGGTTTCTAGGGCAAGCTTTACTGGAGAGCACTGTTCTGCAAATTATGACTTCTTGATATATTTTTTTCCCTGAGTTTAGGGAAAATGTACGATAGTATCAATCCACAGTTACTCTGTTTTCCCATCTAAAGCTCTTGCAACTTTCCAGGAACCCATGTTCTCACCAGCCCTTCAGATAAACAAAAGAACCATTTGCTTAACTATGACCTCAAATGGACTTCAAATCTAAAGTGATTTTCTTACAAGGTCTCCTTTATTCACTGAGCTTTTGTCTGCAATCATTTGGGTAAGGTCAGAATATTGTAACTATAGATGAGAGAGTCCAATCAGGGACAGAAATCAGATAAAGAAAAAAAATGAGCCCTCTTGCTTAGGCTAATTCAATTTTCCAGTAAAGTATAGCAAATAACAAAAGGAATAAATGTTTAATAATGAATATGAAATGGTTGGGCCGAATTATTTTTCCATACCCTTTAGGTGTTCTACCGTAAAGCCATTTTTCTTCTCAATGGGTGGGAACAATAATGAGGTCAAATTTCTTAGAGCAGTGGTGGCGAACCTATGGCACGGGTGCCAGAGGCGGCACTCGGAGCTCTCTGTGTGGGCACACGTGCCATTGCCCCAGCCTTCCTCTCCCTGTGACCCCCTCCTCTTCAGCAGCCCCCCTGAAGGAGAGTCGCCCTCGAGCGTGGCCCACATGGAGCAGCGCAGCCAAGGACATGGCAGCTAGGCAGCGTAGACAAGACTCTGCTCTCACACCCCATCATGCAGTTGATGCTGCAGGACGCAGGCAGAGGGTGTGGCTGCCATAGCGCTGCTGGGCTGCCTAGGCGATCTGCGGTGGGCCCTGGAGGCGGTGAGTGGTCCTGTGGGCAGGCGGGGCGGGGAATGGGGGGGCAGAGCGGGGGCGGAGCAGGGAGGTGGAGCAGGGGCGGGACCAGTTTTTGGGCACTCAGTCTCTAAAAGGTTTGCCATCACTGTCTTAGAACATCCCTGATTTCTTTTTTTGAGGCTTTCAAAATCAAAATCATGCTAGAGAAATATACTGGCTTAATTTTGCAATCCCCCCCCCCCGCAATTGACAAACAAAATATGTATGTCATACCTCTTATAGCAGGGGTGTCAAACTGCCAACCCGCAGGCCAGACACATCACGAGGAAGCCGCGCCCACCCATTGCCGGCAATGGGGGAAAAGCTCCGATACGTTGCGCAATGTCACGTGACGTCGTGAGTTTGACATGTCTGTCTTATAGCCTTAATGCTCCTATTTTTATTAGTCCTCCACAAGTGTATATTTTGACCGCCACAAAGAGTTCACAGCCTGCAGTATTATCCTGCAGTATTTTTGCAATTTATAAATATGTGTTAATTAATATGGAGAAATAAATGATGTTTCAGATAGCATAATCATTTATAGTTGGTCTGCAATAAAGAAATTCTTCAGAAGTAGTCTGGTCTAATAAAGAAGATGCTTGGCAGAAGTTGACCATAATATTCCAAAATAACTAGGAACTTAGTGAGCAATCAGAAATGTCCCCCAAGGAGTCAGCTACTATACACCTGACCTCTACAGAAATGATGTATACTCTTGAATTTGGAAGCTGTCTTGGCCTGCATCAGGGGTTCCCAACCAGGGGTGCGAGACAATATTCCGGGGGGTGCGAAAACTTGGGTTTTCAAAATTATAGTGTATATGCATAATTAATTGCCATTGTTTCAAACTTTTGTATGGGGTGCGAGAATATATCAGAAGCCTTCTAGGGGTGCGGGGTATAGAAAAGGTTGAAAGCCGCTGGCTTACACGGTTATTGTTCAGAAAGTAAGCAGGAGTAGGATATAAGCTAAATTTGAGTTTGTTTCTGTTTAATTACAGTAAGTCAATATAATTAATAAAATGTATTCAACATTCTTTGCTTTCTGTTTAATTCACATTAACATTTTGGGGAAACCCTGGGGTTGCATTTAATTCTTTGGAATGGGGCAAGAGAACATGGGGGCACGCACAAGCAATGTTCCTTTGTAGGTATGACTTGCAGTGCAGTACGAAGGGTGACTGACAAACTCTTTCTTAAGCTGATGTGCTCCTGAGAAGCCCCAGGTTGTTCTTTAACGAAGACAGGTGGGAAACAGCTGTGCAAAACTCAATCCATTGTTCCTTCTTTCTCTTCCAGGCAGTGGTGCTACCGCCGTAGTCCAAGCAGCGCTCTGCAAACCCAGGCAGGAACGCGTAGCAATAAAAAGAATCAACTTGGAAAAATGCCAGACCAGTATGGATGAATTGCTTGTAGGTAGAACAACCATAATAAATGAATAAATAAACTGATCCAGCAACCTTTTCTTCAGTGTCTTATAAACACTTACATGTGATTGTTCTACCTGAATTTGCAAGATTAATTATAGTAAACTTCTGTGAACAAATAATGTGGATTTTTATGGCCTGTTATATCTGCATTTTATTGTAGCTGTGGTGCAGGCAATCCTCAACTTATCTTATAAGCAACTGTTCAAAGTTACAACACTGCTGAAAATAGTAACTTATACAGGTAGTCCTAGATTTACAATAGTTCACTTAGTGGACCATTTGAAGTTAGAACGGCGCTGAAAAAAGCGACTGATCATTGTTTTTCACACTTATGACTGTTGCAACATCCCCGAAGTTACATGATCAAAATTCAAATACTTGGCAACTGACTCGTATTTATGATGGTTGCAGTATCCTGAGGGTGTGTGTGTCATGTGATCAGTGTTTGGGACCTGACAAGCAAAGTCAACGGGGAAGTCAGAGTCACTTTTACAACCATATTGTTAACAGCTGTAGTGATTCACTTAACATCACTTGAATCACACTGGATTTTTCTCTTTTGTGTTTAGAAGAGACATTTTAAAAAAATCGGCTTCAGAACTGTGGGAAGATCTTACAAGGACTCACCAGTCTGTGCTGTGTTGAAAACATACATTCACACATTGATCTTATTAAAAGATGAAGAGACTTACTTTGAATGAAATATGACTCACAGAATCATCACTCAAGCCATTTAAATATTACTGCTGCATTTATCCTAACGATAGTTGCTCTTCTTTTGCATTGGAGGAATAAAATGTTAAAGCAATTTTAATCTTACTAAACAAACAGATGAAACGATCCATTAAGGCAAGAAGAAAACCACTGTGATATTTAAAAATGCAGATGTTCTGAGTTGTATTTTTATCCAGAGATATTTTAGGTATTTTTAATCTGTAATATACCAATAAGGAAAAATATTTATAGCTCAGGGTTGAAATGAGGGGGTCCTTGGTGCTCTTGGAGCTTGGTTGTTTTCTTGCAGGCACCATCAGTGCTGCACTATCTAGTTTGGTGTAATGAAACATCTGCAAGAAAACAACCAAGCTCAGAGAGCACCAAGGATCCCTCATATTTACAATGCATATTGTAAATATGCATTGTAAACATGTAATATTGCCAACCTATTCTAGATATTGAGATACATTGTAAACATGTAATATTGCCAACCTATTCTAGATATTTCAGAGGAAAGGGGAATTGTTATATTCCCCTTTCCTCTGAAATATCTAGAATAGGTTGGAGACGAAAGGGGAATTGTTATATTCCCCTTTCCTCTGAAATATCTAGAATAGGTTGGCAATATTACAGTGACTTCAAAAAGTTCAAGTATCAGTTCATATGAAGCATAGAAAACAAATCGTATTTTGGATGATCAAAACATTTTATTTGACTGAGCAGAAAAAAACCCCACTTTTTTTAAAAAAAAAAAAGTTGGAATCATATTAATTCATCAAGCCAACCAAACTGCTGGAGATGATGGAAATCACAACTCAGCATCTCAGGAGGGCTTCCCTTTGAGGGACGGTCAGTTTAGTTGCATTATTTCTCTCCGAAGTTTGCAAGCACAATGTTCTTAAATGATGAATATACTTAATTTCATTTCCTAATCTCATCCACTGTATATATTTCCTGACGGCAAATACTAGCGATGGGTAGGCAACTTTGGTTCTTTTATGACTCATGGACTTCAACTCCCAGAATTCCTGAGCCAGCATAGCTTGCTCAGGAATTCTGGGAGTTGAAGTCCACAAGTCATAAAAGAGCCAAGGTTGCCTACCCCTGAGCTAGGATAACCTTACATTTTTCCTTGCAAGACTACTATGTCATATTTTGCCTTCTTTACAGAAAGAAATCCAAGCCATGAGTCAATGCAACCATCCCAATGTAGTTACGTATTATACATCTTTTGTGGTCAAGGATGAGCTTTGGTTGGTTATGAAACTACTAAGTGGAGGTGAGTCTTTATATTGTAAATATGAAAATGCAGTCCTGTATTGGAATGATCTTTCTGATCAATCAGTGACTTTCAAACAAAGGTTTTTAGATGTGGCATTTTATTTACAACTAGTTAATATCTGCAGGAGAGCCAGTTTGGTATAGGCGTCATGCTAGAAACTAGGAGACCGTGAATTCCAGTCCTGCCTGGGGCACAAAGCTATCTGGGTGTCCTGAGATTAGTCACATTTTCTCAGCCCTAGGATGAGGCAGTGACAAACCACTTTTGAAAAACCTTGCCAAGAGACTTGTCCACGCAGTCTGAGAATTGGACGTGATTGAACGGAAGGGGAAAAAAAATATTTGCAAAGCATAGAAAAAGCTCTTAAACACAGCCTTTTCTTCTAGACATTAGAGCCCACTTGCATTCTGGAAAAATTAACTGTGTTAATTTCCAAATTAACTGTGTGAATCCTCAAGTCCCTGGGCCAGAAATGCCAGATCCAACAGTACTTGAATTGAATGGAGAAGAGGTTATCCTTACTAAGAGGACAGTTGCTGTGATTAGGAATGGCTAACCACTGGTGATGAAGAGAGACGTGATGGTGGATATTTCAGTAGTGCAAAAGGTGCTTCTGATGATGTTCTACTGGGGAAAACTGAGACAATTTATGTGCAGGGAGGGTACAGGTAGGAATGCTTCTAGTCATCAAGATCAGAGATTGGGAAGAACTACGGAAGCGTGCCAGTTGGGACTGTGGCCAGATAGCTATACTGCTTGACCATGATTTCGCCCAGCATTCATGGAAAATGCTTCCTCTGGGGGAGCAAAGGATTGAGATGTTGGTTGAGTCATGGATTGATCTACCACAGCCCTATCTGACCCACCTATGGAAGGAGCGGGAAACTGATCCAGGGCAGCTGATTTTGCAGAGAGTGAAAGCCCCAGAGTGCATATGTGCACAACCCACCCTGTTTGACAACAACTTCCCAAGAAGGAAAAGAGAAGACAACTCTGAGGGAGAAACTTCTCCTTCTTCTAGAACCAAATCCAGAGGCTGGGGCTCGGCAGAGTGAGATGATGAGATGGTGATGGAAACACAAGTCTAGTCATAGTTCAGAAATTGATGGAAAGTGACTAATTACCCCTCAAAAGAACCTGAGAGCCATGGTGTATCGGTTTTGCTTGAGACTGCTGAGTCTGACTCAAGACTGTCCTGAGTTTGATACGCTTCAGCATTTTTTTTTCATTGATCGCTTATCAGACCTGCAGACAATTCAAAACTGGGGCTAATTAAAAATGTGAAATTCAACGCAATTTTGGTAGGTTAAAATCATAGAAATCAAATGCAATTGAGAAAAAAAGACTGACAAATAATAGAATAAAAGTTAAAGATTATAAACGCTAAAATCTCCAGTTAGGAAATAGATAGCAAATACATCGTTATGGGAGATGCCAGCTTGGTAATAGTAACAATGAAAAAGAAGTTGGAATGTAGTTCATTACAAGCTGAATATGAGTCAGCAGAGTCACGTAGCTACAAAAAGGCAGCTGCCATATTAGGCTGCATCAATAAAGTACAGCTTCCAATTCAGAAAATTATCATCGAGGGAAACAAAATACATGCGAAAAAGGACAAGAAAGATGATCATCAGAAATGCAAGTAAATCTTACGAGAAGAGATACTGGCAATGGGATGTTCAATTTGAGAAGAGGAAAAATAAGGAGGATATGATAACATTTTTCCAAGTATCTGCAGGGATGTCGTGTAGAAAAAAGTGTTCTTTTTTTTAATCCTCTCTAAAAGCAGAACAAGTTGCAGGGAAGCAAATTGTGATTGAATGTTAGAACAAACTCTATAGTGCTTCTGCTTTCATTGAATACGTTCACCTGGAACCTGCACAATCGCCTACCGAGAATTGTTTAATTTAGATTTCTGTACTAAGCAGAGGATTAGATTTGGTAGTCTACATAGCCTCTTCCTATTCATTCTAATTTCTTTCAAGTTTCTCAGTGAGGAAAATGTGCATATTGCTTGTGACCTGACAGTTTATGTTGTCTATCAGATATCTTCAAATGCAGTTACCTCTAAAAAAAATCTCATATAAAAGCATGTTCAGCAGTAGTGGGCTGCTGAGGCAGTCGGTCAATTTAATTACAGATTTCTTATGCCGCCTATAATTTTGTTGCACATTTTGGACCTACGATTTTATGATCCAATTCTCCATGCCTTTTCATGTACTCAGTCATATTGATGTGTCCATATATTTTAAATGAACGCCACACATTTTTTCTAGATCAGAGGCCTCCAAACTTGACAACTTTAAGATTAGTGGACTTCAACTCCTAGAATTCCTCAACTAGCCATGGTGACTGGAGAATTCTGGGAGTTGAAGTCCGCAAGTCTTAAAGTTGCCACGTTTGGAGACCTCTGATCTAGATTTATTCTCTAAGTCTCAGAAAATTTAAATTGAAATCTAGAGCAACCTAAATATGTACAATGGATCTTGGACGGCAAGACGAAGAGGTTGATGTTCCATTTTTCTTCTGTAATTTCTCTCTCTCTCTAGGCTCAATGCTGGATATAATAAAATATGTAGTGAGCAGAGGAGAGCACAAGAGTGGTGTGCTTGAGGAATCAATAATAGCCACAATTCTGAAAGAAGTTTTGGAAGGCTTAGACTATCTACACAGAAACGGACAAATCCACAGGTACTAGCATGTTGCTTCATTGTGTATGAGTTGAGAATGCAAAGTTTCATTATTAATTCTGTTAACTTGAGATGGGACGGCTATATAAACTGATTAAATCAATCAATAAATTCAAGACTGGGTCATGATCTAAACCTGATTGGGAGAGAACTCATTCCGTAAATTCTTCTATAGTTGTGCAACGCAACATGAAGAGATATAAATCCTAGTCTTAAATTAACTATTTAGTTGATAATGCCTCATCCGCTCACAAAATCATCTGGCAGTGTTAGCAATTATTATTTGCCTGTCAAAGGGGATGATCAAACCTAATCTCTTTTTGATCTATTGTTTTGATGGGGGAGATGGCAGAAAAATTGCTGCTTTCTCCTTGAAACTGCAAAGGATGGAGAAGTTTCTTGTCTTGACAATTACTTTGGTTCCATTTCTTTCCCTCTTGCACAATAGCAAATGGGGATTGTTTAATTGATTGATTGATGCAAAGCCAGCTGCAACCTCTGATTTGCTGGGAGAATATAATAGAGCAGTTTTCCATGAGATAAAAGAAGCTAAGTAGCGTGATCTGACGTGCAGTTCGGGCTTGCATAAGAATGAAACTATGAGCTTTTTGTAAGTGGAAGAACATATTTTCCCCTCAATTTGCCATCTTTAAAATGAAATCATCTGAGATTTTTACAACCAGAAAGTGTTTAATTCCACTCTGTGGTATTGTTCCACAGCAAGCCTCCCTTCCCTCCTCCTCTCCCATCACATCTGAATTTAAATGCTTTTTTGTTTATTCCTTTTTCTAGGGATTTAAAAGCTGGTAATATTCTTCTGGGTGAGGATGGCTCTGTACAGATAGCAGGTAATCATCATCATTGTTACATTTTCAAAATGCATGATAGAAAATTTGAGATATTTCAAAAGATCTCATTAATGTTGTAAATGGTTAGAATTTGTTAAGTTTAAGAGTGTTTGATATTCAGCTGCAGGCTAAGCGTTCAGTTTTCCTGAGCGGATAGTTTTTTTTTTTTCTTAATGGAGTGTGTCAGTCAGCTTTTCAAGAAACAATGCAGTTGTTCCCAATCTGTTGTGCTTCACAGTTTTGAACTACAGCTTTTATTTTTCCTCACTCGGCAAGTCAGAAACTTCTAGAGGACAGCTAGCACAAAAATCAGAGTAGATTGGCAACTAGTATTGTGAGCTGCCAAGACAATAGGGTTCCTGCTATCTGTTTCCTGTGCACCTCCCCACTTACGGTGCTGGAGTAGATTGGAAGTTGTATATGCTGTGTAGAAGACGAGGAAGAATCTGTTTTGTCTGCAGCTTTGATTCTTCTGGCAGTGAGTCAGCATTGTGTGTAATTCCCCACACTGCTTTGATGAAATGAAAAATCTTCTGGTTCATAGGGAGAGCACTGACAGTTCAACCTTTTCTCCTTTGATAAATTACTTGAAAAAGGGCTCTTCTGAATTAATTCAGCATGGCTGCTGATCTGCGTTCTAGAATTCCATTTCTCCACATATGGGTGGCGGGACGACAGATAAAGAATTGTGCCTTTCTCACCCCGGTTTCTGAGCAGGCTTACCTATTTTGATAGGGACGCAAAGCAACATGAGATTCCAGTTTCCCTGGATGGAATCCAGATGTACTTTTGGGCAGAGTAATTATGCCGGAGGAAGAGCAGGTTTGGAGTAGTGGTTAAGGCGTCAGGTTGGAAACTGGGAGTTCTAGTCTCGCCTTAGGCACAAAGTTGGATAAGTTACTTAGCTCAGTCAATCAGTCATAGGAAGAAGAAGGCAGTGATAAATTACTTCTGAAAATCTTGCTAAGAAAACTGCAGGGACTAATCCAGGCAGTCTCTGGGAGTCAACACTGACTTGGAGGCATTAAAAAAAAAGCATATAAAAAGCACAAGAGTCTGACCACTTGATTAGATCTGACATTCATTCTGCAGAGGGAAATACAACAGAGGAGAAGGGAGAATGGGTGAGAGCTGCAAATCACACAGTGCATCTATTCTGGGAGAGAGAAAAATAAAGCAGCTTAAAAATGCTACATGCTGCAATCGGCAATATTTTAAGGGAAATTAATTTAAGGCAAGGAAATTCCCTGAATGAAAATGACTGTCTTCAAAATGAAATTCCAATTTTAAGCTTATGCAATATAAATTGCATAATACAATGCAATGCAATGCAATGCAATGCAATATATAATCTGCTTACATTAAAATGCGTTTTAAATTATAGTGGATATCTTTTTAATTAGTTTATAATATAAAATTCAAAAATATGAAAAAAAAATAGTAGGGAAACAGGAGGGGAGGAAAAAAGGAAGGAAAAGTGTAGAGAAAAGGGGGAAAAGGTGTTGACTCCCAACTCCCTTTGGTGCAATAAAATAAAATAATAGCATCGAACCTCAACTTTTTTTCTTTTGCATAATAGTACAAACTAGCCATTTCTATAACAAAAAACTTATCTAATTCGTAAAACCCAAAATCAAAGTTTCATTTTTTCCCACCTTAAGCACAAAGTCCGGAAGCGGTTTCTAAGCAGAAACAAAAGTAATTGTGGTTTTTTTCTTTAATCAAAGCAGTCAATTTAGCCATCTCTGCTAACTCCATCAACTTTTGCAGCCGTTCGTCCATTGTGAGGATCAAAGTGTCCTTCCATTTTTGTGCATAAAGTAATCTTGCGGTTGTCAACATATACTGTATAATATCAAAGTTCCAGGTTTTTTCGAAGTCTTTTTCCACTTAACCCAAAAGAAAAGTTTCTGGTTTTATCGTTATATTCACTTTGAGAATTTTCTGTATTAAGATGTGAATCCTGCTCATTTGACTGCATTTCTTTTGACTTGTTTCCAGTGAAATACTTTTTTTCTTTTTATAAAGTTCTATGGATCTCATTGTTTTATTTGGTGTATAGATTAGTAATCAATTATTAAAAGTGAGTGGTCTATTTATTTCTTGACCAGCTATCAGCCGGTGAAGACAATAGTTTAATTCATGGGGAGGATGTCACACAAATTCATTTAAGTATTTTAAAGAATCACAGTATCACAAAGTATCAGAAACTTTATGAATCCCCTTTTTCTCAGCAAAAGGAAGATACAGACTTGGCACCTTGGCAAAAAATTCAAATGGTGGTTTGTTTAAATAATGCATTGCATAGTACGCATAGCCTAATGTTACTTTGTAAGAGTGATAAAGTATTAAAGACTTTGGCAAGTTGTTGAGTTCTAATTCTGGAACAATAAAAATCAGCGTACCAGCATTGCAATTCCTGACTTTGGAACCATCACAAAATTCTCCTGCTACTAAGACACTAATTACAGTCTTAATGACCTGAAGCTTGTAGTTGTGACCTATGCCATCAGCTTGATGGCAGCCTAGTTCTTCATAACATTTGAAACAATTCAGTTAAGGATTCTTTGTTGAACAAGCCAAAATGGCCTGTTATGATTAAGAAATAATAATAAATCATAATGGGTGAATACTCACAATCTCGCGCTGAACCATCCCCAAACCCTGGATCCATGCCATAAAGCAGAGTTCCCCAACTTTTACAGCTTTTTGGACCGGCCCACAAAACTGGAAAAGTTGGGGAATTCTGCTTTATGGCATGAATCCAGGGTTTCTGAGGCGTTGTCTCTCCCCAAAGGGACTAGCCTGCCCCACTTGTTCCAGTGGAAGAGGCCTACTATGTTTTCCAAAGTTTTCAGTTGGCAGAGTCCAGTCTGCTGGTGATTCCCGCCCTCTGGAATATTTTCCCACTGGAGATAAGATCTGCCCCAACACTCCTGGCCTTCTGGAAGAGCCTAAAAAAGCTTTCTCTTCTGGCCAGGGGCCCCAACAGGGGCACATTACATTGGGGGGAGGCGATCCCCATCCCCAGGGCACCCATCGTCTTGGTTTTCAGCTTTTCCATTTAACTCTCCTAATTTTAATTGCCACATACTATCTTTTAAATTTTATATTTATATTACAAGCTGCCCAGAGTTGCTGTATCGGTGAGATGGGCAACATAAAAATGTAATAAATAAATGTGTTGTAGTTGAACTTATTGAATCTTTCTGCCTCTTAAATATTAACAGATTTGATTATAGCATAACCACGTGTAACTGGATTTGAGTTCAATTGGATGTTAGCTTGGCTGGCACACATTGTTGGAAGGAATGAACACGAGACAATGTAATTAAATAAAAATAAAATGGTTTGTGACAATCAATATGGCAGTGCTGGTGACAATGGGGATCTTGGCTTCAATGAGCTAGTTTAGCCTCTGAGGCAGTGTTGACTCCTGGTGACTGCCTGGACACCCCCCTGCAGTTTTCTTGGCAAGGGTTTTCATAAGTTGTTTGCCGTAGTCTTCTTCCTTGGGGTTAGAGCAGTGTTTCTCAACCTTGACAATTTTAAGGCATGTGGACTTCAACTGGCTGTGGAATTCTGGGAGTTGAAGTCCACATGCCTTAAAATTGTCAAGGTTGAGAAACACTGGGTTAGAGAGAGGGAGTGGCCCAAGGTCACCCAGCTGCTTTGTGCAGGCAGGACTAGAACTCACCATCTCCCTGTTTCTAGCCTGGTACCTTAATCACAATGGCAAACTGGCCTAGACACAAGCCGTGATACAAAGATCCAAAAAGAACTATTATTTTGGTTGAAGGTAGTACAGAAGAAAGCCTGCTAATATATTGCGAATATTTTTATTGCTTTGCCCATGGAGGCATGTACAGTATCTTATTAAGGGTTTACAGCAGCGGCTCTCAACCTTTTCTATATCCCGCACCCCTAGAACGCTTCTGATATATTCTCGCACTCCTTACAAAAGTTCAAAATAACGGCTACAAATTATGCATATACACTATAACTTTGAAAACCCAAGTTTTCGCGCCCCCTGGAATATCGTCTTGTACCCCCAGGGAGTGCGAGCACCCCCGGTTGGGAATCCCTGGTTTACAGCATGCTGTGCATGTATCCTGTAACAATTGCAAATTCTGGCAATTTTATTTTGAATTGGAAAATAAATAAAAATACCATTTGACCAATGTTGAATTAGTAATGATAACGTCTCCACCAGAACTGGGATTGACAGTTTAAGGGAAGATATTTATAAACAGAGCTATTAAGTGGTCTTCATTCTCCTCTCTCAAAATTACCTTGGATCCAATGCTCAGTTTGCTCCTGACAAATAATTTTTGTTAAACCTTTAACTCTGTTATTTAATGAGGGCCTTGCTTTTCAAAACAGAATGTGCGTATATACATTGCTATAGCTTTGTTCCAAGTTACAAAGAGTTTAGACATTTGAAGGGATTGTATAACACAGTGATTTTGCATATTTATTCCTCTAGCTCGTTGTTTCTTAACATGACCCCTGAAATCCCCCAAGACCCTCTCAAAGGACAGTGAAATCAAAAATATTTGCTACATATTGAAAATATTTGCAGAAATGTAAAACTGTCACTCTTCATACTGTTCAAGTACTCATGATCAAAAGCCTGAAATAGTACTTTGAAGTCAACCCAGCAGTTAAGATTTGGAGAAAGACTAGGTATAAATTAGTCTATGCATTAGCATTATAGCTCCAAGCTATAATTCTTTCTTTTCTTTTTTCTTTTGGATATGTAATTGCTAGTGATATTTTAACTTACGAATGGTATCATTGCAAGCTAGAAATAATTTCTGTAATAAATATAGACTAGAACTTAGATTTATGACTTTTGTTGTGTTATCCAAAGTGTTGGGACTAAAGAGAATTAAACTGCATATTAATATAGAATGGAAGGGAGAAATCCCCTCTTTGTTTTGACGCAGTGCATTCAGTTATTAAGAAGTCATTGTTTCTGAATATTACATAAGCATTACTAGCTTCAAATAGTTCCTGTGGTTTTGAGGGGAAAAAAAAAAACCTTGCTAAGAAGAATGGCTTCATTACTTCCTTGCAAATTTAAGACCAGGATGTGTATTGATGTATATAACTCACATGTATTGGCTCACGGCAAAGAGTGGTAAAATTCTATTTGTTACAATCTTCACCCTGTTTAAAATAAGTAATTTTAATTGTGCATTTTGAACGCTTTTTTTAAAATTTTGTCTGAACATATGAGTGCTATATGATTTCAAGTTGGATGCAGATGTTCTGTACCTACAGTTAAATTATTTGACGACGAACATAAGAACCCTGTTAGACGAAGCTGTTGAGCCCAGCCTGCTGTTTTATAATAATAATAATAATAATAATAATAATAATAATAATAATAAAAGAAGAAGAAAAAGAAAAAGAAAAAGAAAAAGAAAAGAAGAAGAAGAAGAAGAAGAAGAAGAAGAAGAAGAAGAAGAAGAAGAAGAAGAAGAAGAAGAAGAAGAAGAAGAAGAAGAAGAAGAAGAAGAAGAAGAAGAAGAAGAAGAAGAAGAAGAAGAAGAAGAAGAAGAAGAAGAAGAAGAAGAAGAAGATGGAAGGGATCTTGGAGGTCATCTAGTCCAACCCCCTGCTCAGGCAGGAAACCCTATACCATTTCGGACATATAGGACAAAAGTACAAGACCATCTTCTCACTTCATTAGAGAAAGACTGCACCTCCAAAGAGATCATTCTCAGACCCCAAAACATTCAGGGATTAATAAAACGCCAAGGCTTGGGCTTGAACCCACACAGGCAGTCAAGACAATCGGTAAAGCACTGGTATCTTGTGATCATAACATCCTGTCCCATCCTTACCAGTTGGTAAGCTTGTACCTCTAGTTTGGACTAAGTGGAAGGGTCCAGCCTACTTCAGAGGTCATGTCATGTACAAAGCACTAGGAAATCCCTGAAAGAAGTATATAGTGTGAATCTGAAGCACAAATTAGCATCACATATCTTGAAATGATTTTAAAAAAGGCACTTTTAAAAAGTATAGTGAAAAGAAATAGTAAACAAGTAATAAACATTTGGTGGTAGATCTGCAGCCTGAATACTTGGGAGTTCATCTACATCTATCTGATTTATACTGTATTTGGTATTTTGCCATCAAGTGAATGACTGCTTTTATACAAACACATGACTGATCTCAGAAATGGCAATATTCGTGTATGAGCCATGCATAGTGCTGTCTACATTCTTCTGAATAATCTTCTAATAATGATAGGCAACCAGTAACCCATAGCTTTAGAGTCGAGATCTATTTACAAAAAGAATAAGGATGGGGTCATGCTGGTGATTTGAATTTGGTGTTGCCCCCTACACACACACACACACACACACACACACACACACACACACACACACACGTATAATGAGTCCTGCGTACAAGTGTGTGCATGAATATTCTCTCTGTATAAGAACTTCTTGCCATTGGCATTTTTGCCTGATAATAGGAATCTACTTCTTGCGTTTTTGTTCCCATTTCCTGCCTATAACCCATTTCCTTCTGTTCCTAAAGCCACCTAGTTAACTACTATAACATATTCCATCTAGCCCAGAAACACATCATAAGATGTGATCCTGTTTCGCTTTTAGCTATTTCTTGATTTGCACACACTGTTGCTACACTTCCCCTGCAACATTTGACCCTTTAATCAGTTTTTCCCCCCTGAAGTCTTGCATGACTGTTCATATTTTCCCTCTGATCTTATGTCTTCATAAGTAAGACATTTGAAGCAGAAATAGATGTCAGGCTGCTTTTTTTTTTTTTTGCTCCTACCCCGCTGGAATTTTGATGCAGACCTAATAATAGCATCTTTACATTCTGAACTGAGTGTAAGGGAATATTGACCTCAAACGGTAGGTAGCGTGAAACAAACAGGTCCCTTGTTAGTCTCTGTATGGGTTTTATGGTGCTATGAAGGAGACTAAAAATGTTTACAGACATGATTCATAGATGGAAGAGATGTCTCATTTCTAAAACCTACATAACATCTTACCTGTTGAGAAAACATTAAACTAACCGCTTCATTTAAATAGAAATTTCATACTTAAGCTGCATACTTAAACAGGAGCTTCACATTTACAATCGGGGTTTAATAAGTGAATTGAATGCTAAAAGAATGTCTGTATTTTCTCTTCCTAGACTTTGGAGTTAGTGCATTTTTAGCCACAGGAGGTGATGTAACCCGTAACAAAGTAAGAAAGACGTTTGTTGGCACTCCGTGTTGGATGGCTCCTGAAGTCATGGAACAGGTATAAGACTTAGATGTTTAATATGTCAAATAAGTAAAAGGTAAAGGAATGCCTGTGGATTTTACTCCGCTGGTCATTGCCAACTCTAGGGGGCAGTGCTCATCTCCGTTTTGAGGCCATTGAGCCAGCACTGTCTGAAGACATTTGGGTGGTCATGTAGCCAGCGTGACATCACAAAGTGCTGTTACATTCCCACTGAAGTGCTCCTATTTATTTACTTTCATTTGCATGCTTTTGAACTTTTAGGTTGGCAGGAGTTGAGGCGAGGACGGGAGCTCACCCCATCACATGGCACTTGGGTCTTGAACCCAGGCTGCTGGCTTTCCAGCTGACAAGCCCGGCATCTTAACAGCTAAGCCACGGCGCCGCCCTATTATGATGTCATATATTGATTTAATATACCATTACTAAATTAACTCATCTCTTTTATATTTCCCGATGATAGGTGAGAGGCTATGACTTCAAGGCTGACATCTGGAGCTTTGGAATAACAGCCATTGAATTAGCCACAGGAGCAGCGCCTTACCACAAATACCCTCCAATGAAAGTAAGCATAGCTGGGAAATAAAGTTGTGTAACAAACTTTTCAGGTTTGGGTCTAAAGCTGTGCAAGTGAGTTATGCATCAGAAGTGTACGCTGACCTTGTAATAGCTGGGACATAGTTTAGGACCCTGGTTATCGGTGCCCCCCTCACAGATATAAGTTGTAAAGAGCTTGAGAGATGTTGATTCCCTGCCCTCTTGCCTCTCCATTTTTGTCTCCATTTGTTTCCATCCCAATGAACTTTTTAGACAGAGTTTTCTCCTTCTTTTTTCTTCAGAACACCTGAGGTAGATCAGAATGAAAGATGATGATTAGTGCCATAATCCATATTCAGGTGGCCACTTGAAACTTGAGACTTTGTAGTCCTACCAGTCCCACTCCCCAAATCTTTAGGGTTGTTTTGAATTTCTGAAATTGTCAATTATACTTAGGCATTTATAGCTAGTTTCACTGATTGGTGTATATTCTATAAAATGGTATGGTAGTTCAGAGTCAAGGATATTTATTTGTGTTCAGTGTATGTATTGAAATTATTGTCTAGCTTTCTTTACATATACTGTAATTTAACATTATTTAAATCATTGTTAATTTGGCCAAGACTACTGTACTCTCCAATTTTTATTTTTATTTTTTAAAAAAACAGGTATTAATGTTGACCTTGCAGAACGATCCTCCGACAGTGGAAACAGGAGTAGAAGACAAAGAAATGACCAAGAAATATGGCAAGTCCTTTAGAAAACTAATTTCGTTGTGTCTTCAAAAAGACCCTTCTAAAAGGTACGGTGTTTTTTTTAAAAAAGAGAGATGTAAGAAAGTGAGGCAAAGCATTTAAATGAGGATATAATTTTAAATAATAAATATTTTAAATAATAAAATATAGATTCATTTATACTTAAGTGAGTAAAGACACAGAGAGATCAAGACATCCATCCGATTGCTTGACCCTTGATTTTTCTAATTGGACACACTTTATAATTATTTTATTTATGAAATATATAGATTGCTTCAATGTGTTATGACTTTAGGAAACTCATATACACAGTAAAAAATTAAATACATACAATAATTAATACACAAACAAACAACAAACAAATAAATAAATAATACAATAAAAACACAAAAATGATCAAAAGTTCAGAAAAAGCCAACAAACCTTTAGAACAGTGTTTCTCAACCTTCACAATTTTAAGACATGTGGACTTCAACTCCCAGAATTCCACAGCCAGCAATGCTGGCTGTGGAATTCTGGGAGTTGAAGTCCACATGCCTTAAAATTGTCAAGGTTGAGAAACACTGCTTTAGAAGAACCAGAACATCTCACAATGAAGTTATCACTCACTCTAATCCAGGATCTGAAGTGAAGTAATCAATAACTCCTGGCATTTTCACTGTTTAAAGGAGGCAGTAATAAGTTCATTATTGAAGAAACACTCTTTGACCCAGAGGGCCTCTGTAATTATTGACCACTCTGTAATAGTTCATTTTTGGGGAAGATGATTGAGAAATGTTTATCTCGTACGTCCGCTCTCTTCAAAAGTCATTCCCTATTTTCAAAACACTCAATTTTCTGACCATTTTTAGGAAGAGGTAATGATGAAGCTAACAATGGAGATGGCTTCCTATCATCTTTTTTTCAATTGCCACCAGGTGCTGAATAACAACACCCCAGAAACCAATGAGCATATCACATCAGATTACCAAAGGGGCCTGGAATTGCTAGAGCAGGGGTGTCAAACTCGCAACGTCGTGTGACGTGTCGTGACGTATCGGGACTTTTTCTCCATTGCCAGCAATGGGGTGGGCGCGGTTTCGGCATGACGCATCCGGCCTGCGGGCTGGCAGTTTGACACCCCTGTGCGAGAGGAAGAGGCAGATGATAAAAGAGTATGAAAAATGAAAAAAAAAAATCCTCTATGCTGTTGGAAAAGAATTTGGGGAATTCTTGCCTCTTTTATTTGGTGGAGTTTATTTCTGAACTTGGCTTTATTGGACATCACTGTATCTCTGGAATAATGCATTTAAAGACCCAAAAGCTTTTCTGTTGGTTTACTAGCTATGCTGCAAGAACTTTTTTTTACATGCATTGGTGCATGTCAAATGAAAATAATAATCATAATAACAAACAAGACAGACACCTTAAAGCAGGGGTGTCAAACTGCCGGCCCGTGGGCCGGTTTCATCATACCGGAGCCGCGCCCACCCCATTGCCGGCAATGGCAAAAAAGCTTCGATACATTGCGCAACGTCACGTGACGTCGTGAGTTTGACAAGTCTGCCTTAAAGGTTCTCTAGTAGAACTGAATAACTTAGATTACCTCTTGTGCTATATATGTTTTAAGCGTATGCTACATGTACATTTTTGGGAAATTGATTTTGTTCGACTCTGAAGATCCTTTATAAACTTTTTAAACAATTTGCCTTTTGCTATGTCTCATTAACTCTAGATTCCTGAGGCACGTGCATTAAGCAAAAGTCTACTTCTTGGCCAGAAATAAAATGTTCTCGGTACTTCAGCCTGAAATGCTTTAGAGAACCTGTGTTTGTTAAGATGTCAACTGCACCAGTGGCTCCTTATTGCAACATAGGATTAAAAAATAACATAGGAAAAAACCCTATAAATACTATAATACTAACCATTTTTATTTATTTATTTATTAGAGCTTGTTAATTTTTTATTTTAAATTCAAAAGCAGTGTATTCATTATTCTGCTAACATGATCAAGTGATTTCCAATTCTATTTTAAGTATCAGAAACATCATTACTTATCGTTCGGTGTGAAATGATTTCTTTCAGACTATTAACTGCATCAAAGTCCTAGATAATACTTTATCTTCCCCATCCTTTCTATCTCTCTCCCACCCGCATGCCCAGTTAACAACAAATCAACATTATCTTGTAGCTGTGTAAATAATTCCATCCCTATGTGGTTGCTGAGAATGTTTCTAGCCACTAGATGGTGCAATTGCTGAGGTCTGTATAGGAATGATCAAAATTAAGCTGATTCTTTTTCAGAATCTACAATCTATACTTGCTCTGGGGAGAGAGGATCTAAATGCTTTATTTTTAAAAATGGAAGTTGGATTGAAAATAGTTCCTGGATAAAAAGTTTGCATGGAGGGTTATATTAATTAATGCTTAAAATAATAGTTTATTATGTGTTAAGAGTTAGTCCACTTCTTCCACCCACTTCTGGATAGCTGTGTTGAAGTCTTACTTAAAGAGCTCAAGAGAGATGTTGATGATTGAGGATTTCTGCTCCTATTTCATGTTTATATCCGATATTTCATACTGTCATTTAGCAATGATGGACCAATGTGTTGGTCTACACTGTTTTTGATGCTGTTTTCAGAAGTGAAATTGTTATTATGCTAATAGACAAACTATCAATTTGATACAGATGATTTCTAGATAGAATAAGAATTTAATAATTCTCAAAGTGAGATAAGTAACTTCTTCACATCCAAAGTTGGGCTAATTCTGAAACTGCTTAAACAAACTTATTCTAAATCTGGATTTTATTTTTCTTCACCATCTATAGCAGTAAACCTGCCTCTCCAGTCTCCAGTGGAAGAATTTCCTAGCTCCCATAGCATAGATGGAGTGGGATACTGAATAGGATTGGATTTATAGGGGATATTGATTCTGTTGCTAACAGAATATCATTACAACTAAATTTCAGTAGTGTAAATCTTTGATTAATGAACTAATTCAGAAAGAGATGCCTGTTTTTTCTGAATATCCATTAAATCCAAAGGTATGATATTCATGGTGATTTAAATTATTGGTATAATGGCATATTTATACAACTTATGCAAATGTGTCAACCCTCATAGGGTTGTTGTTGTAGAGAAAATAGGAGGAAAGAGTATTAAGTATATTTGCCGCCTTCATTTATTTATAACAATAATATAGGTGGGATAAAATCAGATAAATAAATATCTTAAATGCAAATCAAACTGCCTCATCTTGACTACTTTCGATGCAACGGAATGCCCATTGTTTTAGAGTGACAGTTAGATGGAAATGTTATAGATTGCATCTGAAATGTATTAAATGAAGATTATTATTAAACTGAGATTTTTACTGTCTGTAAATAGGTTGGGAGATGATTCATTTACTTTCTTTTTAATACATAAAACAGTACATTGGATTTATATTTATGGCAAAATATGAATTTTTCTCAAAGGAATGAGTCTACAGAGCAATAGCATTTAGGCTTATACTGTATACTGCCCCGTAGAAATTTACAGCACTTTCTGGGCAGTTTACAATGTAATCTGGATCTTCATTTTACCGTCCTCGGAAGGATGGAAGGCTTAGCCCCATCAAGATCGAACTCCAGGCTGTGGGCAGAGTTTGCCTGAAATACTGCATTTTAACCACCGCATCGCCAGGGCTTCTGGGAACAGTTGACATAGGTTGTAAGAAATTGTTTAAACAACTTTTTAATATGGGTTATATTAGTAAATTTTGATCTTATATATAAAGTGTAATGATCTTTTTTTTAAAAAAGAAAAACATAGGATATTGAACTCAACATACATTCTTAATACTTTTCACTGGATGTCTAATGGTGAATGCTCTGAACAACATGCAGTAGACGTGGTCGATGAACACAGTGCTAGAATGATAGTCTTAATTGTCTTTTTAATCTCTCTTTTAGGCCTACCGCAGCAGAACTTTTAAAATGTAAATTCTTCCAAAAAGCAAAGGTAAAATATTTTATTCAGCAAGTAAATCCTGTTTTGAGATCAGTATGAATGCTTCTGCTTCTTGGGGCTGGACTTAATTATAACAATTTTGATCTTTACAGACCAGAGAATACTTGATTGAAAAACTACTTACAAAAACACCTGATATAGGACAGAGGGCAAAAAAGGTAGGGTTCCTTGTAATTGCCTTTCATTTTTTTTCTTTTTCGTTTTTTGGGAATTAATGCATAACAAAGTCATGGACACAGTTATATGGACACACTGCTGATCATTGCCGTGCATAACTATAGCGCTGTTAAAAGGCAGACAATCTGTGACAGCTACACTCTTCTGAGACTTCTTCTTGAGCTCCAGATTCAGCATTTGGACAGCTACCATGCCTGAATGCATAGAGAACTTGTGACTCTAAATGTTGCTGAATCACAGCTCCCATTATTCCTTACAATTTTCTATGGGAACATCTGGTGAATTATAGGTTTCCTATCCCTGCTGTACAGACACAGAATTGCTATGCTAAGTATAGAAGAATTGAGGCCTTGTGAGTTACTCCCATTGTTGTTGTTGTTGTTTGCCTAAGCTTGGCAATTTAGGCAAAAGATTTTATTGTACTGTATTGGCATAGTTATTCTGTATAGTGGTATAGTAACAATAGTGTATTTATGTGTTTGGTGGGAAGAGAAAAAGCAAAGAAGATGAGGATGGATAGAAGATCTTTATTACTGCCAACCCAATTTTAGCACTGATTATTCATCTTTTTCATAGTTTAGTTATTGTTAGCTCCTTTGACTATATTCAGTGGAATAAAAAGTTAGTATACAAATAATGTAGTGAAATACATGTAGCTATTCTTCTAGATCCACTTTAAGGTTTAGGAGACTGAGATTTTCTTTTGGGACTTTGGGTTTTAATTTTTCCTTCGGTATAAAGCTGTTGTGGCATTTGCAATCAAGAAAACAACATCACATTCATGTTAAGAATAATAATAGAGTGGCCCAGAGATTATTCTTCTGTCGAATTCTAATCAAAAGAAGGCAAGATTTAATTGAACCTCAACCTGTAAGTAGATCCACAACTAAACAATATTGACATCTCTTTGCTGAGGGGATAATGTCTTGTTTAACCTTCTCTAACCTGGTTAGTTTTAATCTTGTCAGCTTCAGTCAAAATGGAAATCATATGGGATAATGAGAATTGTTGTGCAAATATTTGAACAATTAGTAAAAACTCATCTAGTCAAAACAGGCATGTTATATAGCATTGATTTCAGCTAGTCCCCGTTTCCTTCTCTATTATGTTGCACTGTGTAAGTATCTATGTGAGAGAATGTGCCAACTCTTTCAGGGAGGCAAGGTCAAGAAACAGAAGCCGCAGGGATTCCAAAAATTCTCTTTATTGTTACAGGGTAGAGTAACAAAACCTTGGAAGCCTATCACAGTTTTACTCTACTCCCTCATATACCAAATAAAATCAAGGCAGGGCTATTTTAAATGTCTTTGTCACATTTTTCACTTTCTCAGGACTATGTCTTGACAACTGCCTTCCGTTAATGGTTCTTTGCGCCTTTCCTCCTACTCAAGGGCAGGTCTAGATTCTATCATAGAGAGACTGGAAGAGGGAGATCTTATATTAATTTAGCTCTTCAGATGTCGACAACTCCCAGAATTCCCCTCTTAGGACCCTTTTGATTCAAGTCATTTTTTTGGTTTAAGCCTTTGTGTTTTCTTTGGCAAAAACAGATACAGAAAAAATTTAAAATCAGTCTGGATTCTGGTATTTTTGACCATCAGAAAAACACCTCATGTTTCCCCCCCCCAACCCATTGCTTTGTGATCAGGGGAAGTCCTTAATGTATTTTTAACACTGAAGGAGTGTAAACGTCACTTACGGTCATATCTTTTTTTAACAAAGGCCATAAATAATAAATCTAGCTTGAGGTGACTTTCTTTGCTAGGCCTGTGACATTGGGGGTGGAAATTGCAAACTGGTTTGAATTGTTTTGACAGCTCTTCAAGTCGATCTCTCTTTGGAACAGATGTCCTTAGCATTCAGGTAGCAAATTCCTCTCAAGTGTTGTTCTGATAGGAATTCAGGCTGTTCAGGGACAGCCACTAGATGGAGTGGATTGCCCGTTGTTTTTTCAAATAGCCAATAGGTACAGATTCCCAACTTATGGTTATGGTTGTTCACCAAACTACAGTTTGATTTTAGCAGACAGTGGCTCTTCTACAGATAGATAACACTGCTTAATCCTAATTTATTTTTTTTTAGTACAGCTATCCTGTATTTGAAAGCCAAAACACATCAGTACTTCTCTTTTCCATCTAAATGGTAGCTAGGAGGCCAGTTTTGAAGTTCCAAATGTCTCAAGCGGAACTGTTCCATAAATATTGCAAAATTCTGGTTTTAATTGAGTTAGTTAGGCTTTTCAATTCTATTTCATGTCAGTAAAGCTAATTTTTTTCCCCTAGTTCAAAATAAATTTTTAAATATATCCTTTAACATAGATATTCCTATTGGAAATTAGGGGGAAAAAAGGTTCCCCTTTGCTTTCTGTTACCAGGATAAAGTGATGGTATTATGATATGCAGCATATTCAGAAAGGGTCCTTTATAAAATGCAAAAACTTTAAAGCAAGCTTGTCCCTTAGGAATCTTAAAAGGCTACTTTGAAAACTGACTCTGGCTCTTTGTGTACATGTGTGTGCACATCTGTGTATGTGTGCATGAGGCCAATTCACTTTGCTGGTAGTCTCAGTGGAAGTCTCGTCCTTCCGAGGGCTCAGCTTCTTTAGAATTTCATGGAAGCATGTTTTGCTCAACTAGGTTGCTTTGCAAAAGGCTACCATTGAGTTCTTTGCACAACTCAAGCACTGTGCATTGTTCAAATCTTTCTTTTCCAATTTTAAGATGTTTATCAGTGTCTTGACATTTGTAAATAAATACAAGCACAATAAATACAATAAATATAAATACAAGACCTGATTGAGTAGGTATTATGTACTTGCAAGCCTATAGGTTTCTGTTGAAGCATGTGCTTCATTTTTTCATGGAGGAAAAAAGGCCCAAGTTCTTTTTGAATATTTCAACTGAACTTGACAAAACAAGCTTATCAGTTTTGTGTAACTTTTTACATATTTTTTGATTGATTAATTCAAGACTCTGGCTTAACAGTAGTTTATGTCAATACATTTGAAGGCCAGATCTGGAAATCATTATGTATTATGCATTTGCTTTATCAATTTCTATTTGCACAGAATTATTTCTTTTTTAAAAATTGTAAATGACTGATTTATCAGTAGCCTGAGAAATGCATTTGTTACTGTGAATTGTGTCTGTATTTATTCCTAAAATATACAGCAGATGGCAGTAGTACATTTGCTAGTAATAATATTTGTATAAGTATGTACTAAGAGTAGAGAATTATATATTTCATGCTAAAAGGGAAAAATGTTCTTAGTAATTGGTAAAACTGTTAACATTTTATTCTAGATTTGCTCTTTTTACAAGTATTTATTGGCCGTACAAAATGTCAGGCCCCATAGGCAAATTATTACATAAATACATTAAATATTTATATTCTTAATTACTTTCTTCTACATATATTCTTATTTTCTTGAGACATGACTTTTGAACATTCCTAAATACAATAATGTTTTCTCTGAAAAAAAAAAGATTAATAAAACTAATAAAACCTATTGTAATTAGCCAATGAGATCTGACTTTTAATCCTACCTATTGCATATTATTTCATAAGCAACGTTGTAATAATACAGAATATGCTGAATACATTTAATAATGTTACAGAATACCAAATATTTAATGCCAAAAGGCATGTTGATGAGCTGGGTCCTGTAACTGTACTAACAGCTCTCCCACTGTTAGAGTTGCAAGGGAGATTTTTTCATTGAGAATTGTTTTCAAAATGAATTCTGTGATTTGTCCTTGATATGTTGTGTTTGACATGGTTCTCTTAGTAGTGTATATTCAGGACAGCTTTTTCCCAACAAAGTGCCAGCCTGTTGTGTCAGATCAATTTCCATAATCTCCACCCATGTGTGGAAGGTACAATTTTTGGGAAAGACTGTTCCAGAGTTTGACTTATGGACTAGGCCAGGTATTATTTCACTTGGCAGAATAACGTATTTTTAATTATGCTCAGTAATTTTCCTCCATAATCCTCAAAGATTAAACCAAACTGAGGTAGCGTGAGCAAAACACCTATATTAGGCGTGTCAATTTAAAAATACTAGTTATTTTATCATTAATAGTTATAGACCTGACATAAACTAAAGTTAGGAACAGGGATTTATAGACTGTTTGTACATCTCTTCCTTCCTTTCCCTATTTTGTGCATGTGCTGTAAGCTCCTGAAACCCATCATGTCATTTTTGTTATGTTTAGCATAGATTAGAGGGGACACATAAACACAGACATAATTATAGTTGCCACTAGAGGGAAAAGTCTAAAGACGTCATTTCTAAGCCCACTGTGAACTCTTTTAGGCTTCTTTTTTCAGGCTTTAAGATCTTGTGGTTAGACAAAAATGGAAAACTCAATTCTCTATAGGGTTCCCCTTTTTTAATCCAGTCTCCTGTGTGGACTTATCTTTCAAATATAGAAATCCTTTGGAGGCATGTTCTTTTTTTTTTTTGGTCGCCACAGTTGTTAGCGAATCACTGCAGCTGTAAAGTGAATCTGGCTTCCCCATTGATATTTCTTGTCACAAAAGATGCTGCAACTGTCATAAATACATGCCAGTTGCCAAGTGTTCAAATTTTGATCACATGTCCATGGGTATACCGCGACGATTGTAAGTGTGAAAAATGGTCATAAGTCTTTTTTTTCCCCTCAGTACTGTTTTAACTTAGAATGATCACTAAACAAATAGTTTTAAGCTGAGGACTATTTGCATCTGTTTAACTTAAAATATATTAGAATTTTACATGCTACAAACTGTGTAAAATGAATTCGGTAACTATTTATACAGCATAGTTATCTCTGAAATATTCAAATGTTTCTATGGAGAATCTCAAGGCAATAACACAAGTCCTGCTGACTTTATCTTAACAGCTTTGTGCAGGTCCTTTTATATTTATGGAATATGCTACTTGAGGATTTTTTCTTCTTCTCCCAATTGGTTCCACATGCAGATAGGATTTTGAGAACAG